CATGTTAGAATTACAAAGATTAGTTACGAGGAAATTATGTATGGATTAGTTAGAGAGTTTACTTATTAATGTATTATTTATATATAAAAAAACCTTCTATCCTCAATGTGTGGATTACCCGTAACTTGTACATGTATTAATTAATTATATAGATTTTTAAATTGCAAATAAAATACCTTGTGTATCAGCTTTACATTTGAATAACTTACATTCTAACCAACTACCCAACATAATATTATATAAAATACCTTGTGTATCAGCCAAAAGAAGTTTTCTCGAAATTAAAATTGATTAAATCTTCTTCAAGATCAACAATGTTTCAAGAGAGATTGAATGCATTAATTAGCTATATTATCATTTGAAAAGAAATTATTAAAACAAATTGATTGTAAAACAGTACTTAATGACTTCACATTTAAAATAGCTGGAAAGGTAGATTTTAAATAAAAGTATATATAATGAAAAAATAAAATATTAAAGTCACTCTCTTAAATTTCACTTTAGACCCTCAATGTTGTTGAGTCGGCCCTGGTGCCTCAAGCCTTATATTATTTAATTCAATTTTTAATCAATTTCTAAACAGATAATACCTAATATAGATTTTGAGAATATCTATCTTAAATAATATTATTATCAAAATAAATATGCAAAACTAGCGTATTATGAACAATGAGTCTGATCATATTCTATCTTGTATGCACATTTAAATTCAGGTACTCCATCTCTACATCTGCTCTCTAAAACCTGCCATGCAACATCATATTGACTTTCTTCCGATTCTAAATATTGCATGCAATTCCAAACACAACTTTCTTCTATTGATGGAGGGTATATTTTGCAATTCACTGAAGCCATTAAAAAAATAAAGAAAAACATGCAAATCTGCTCCAACGTCATCATTTTATTTATATTTCCTGTAAAGATAACCAATTATTTAATAACGTTAATAAGTACTATTTAAAAGAATTTGTAGAAATAGAGTTAAAATGGAAAATAGACTCGTGTGGATACAACTTTAATTGATTAATTAATTGAACAATCAAGACACCTAAACAACAAAACATTAAACATTCAAAAACTTCTCTCAAATATTAATACGGAGTGATATATATATTGTGAGTAGAAGTCCCAAAAACTCAAAAAACTAATTTGATTCGATTTTCGGGAACTTGAAAGTATTTGAAGAAAATTTTTTAAAATCTAATCAATTTTCACTATCTAATAAATATTTGAAGATAAAATTTTCAAAATCAATAATCAAATACTAGCTTATTATTTTACCTTGGTAATCTTAAATATAAGTAGGAATCTTGACATAGCATTTTTTTCTATATCACCTAATACGTGAAAAATGCAACATCTTTTCAAGCGCTCATAATAATTATTTTATTACAATTAAAATGTAATTATATTGTGACCTATCATTTTCAAATTTAAAGAACAAAATTTCGCAAATATACGAATACATATATTAACTTAGGAAGTAAAGTGGCACACAACAATAAGCAAACAAACAACTAATAAATAAAAGGAGGATAATTTTTTTTTACGTACCCATTTGTCGTCTTGATAGCAGAATTGGTGTAAATTGACTTCTCCGTTAAAGGTTATAAATAGAAGATAGATATGTAATATACGTTCATATGAATTTGATCTTTCTTTCTGCATCCGTTACAAGTGAGACATTAATGAAGAGTGATAAATATGAAAAATCACTTTATTTTGACAACTGGGTATTACTTTTTTTAAAATTTTAATGACGGTTATATGGCTAAGAGTTTGTTTGATATTATTGATAAAATTGATTATTTTTTGAAGCATTTTTTTAAAATAGCTTTTTAGAAAAGTGCTTTAATTTTGAAAAAAAAAATGTGTTTGACTAATTTGTTTGAAAAGTATTTTTGATAAGTAAATTGTGTTTTAAGAGTCAAACTACAAAAAAAGGACAAGTATCATTGTACTTTTAAAATTAAAATTATTTTACAAAGAGAAACTATTTTAAATATCTATTATAAAAGAAGTAATCAAAATTTTATTTTTATTGAATTAAAATGTACACAATCAATTTTCAGTCAATATTATACATAGATAAATAAGAAAATAAAAAATATTGATATAATATCACATGATGATTCAAAAATATAATTAAAAATATAAAATATAAAATAATAATAATAATAATAGTAAACGTAAAAATAATAATAAAATTTTATATAAAAATAAAATACTTAAATGAAATAAGTGATATATTGGTAATATGTAAATATGAAAGAAATACTTTTGTCTTGAAAACAAATAATGTTCTACTTTTGTTAAGAAGCATAAATTTTTAGCTTCTCTCAAACTGTGAAAAATTGTTTCTGCTTTCATTTAAAAACAATTTTATTGATTTGTCAAACATTATATTTTTTAAAATAATTTTTTTTTTTCAAAATAAGTGTATTTAATCTTCCAGTAACAATGTCAAACAAACTTTAAGTTACAAAGTACTCCACTTTCTACTAAATATTTATATTTAAAAATAAGAGACGTGACAATAGTTTTTAAAGCCTTTTTTAGATGAGAGCATGAGGCTAATATTTCTTCTTGTTTTTAGAAAAAAAAAGAGTACTTATTTTGGAACAAATTAAAATGTTTAGAAAATCACTTAAGAGAAAATAGGATCTTTTAAAAATTACTCTTAGATGTTCATGATTTAGTATCTATCCAATCATATTGAATTTGTATTTATATTTGATTATTATATTATTGTCTTTAAGGGTGTATTTAAAAGTAGGAGACTGCGTTTTACTCTAGTCTCCATGTATGCACGTCGGATTAGCTACCAAACAAACCTAAGAATCCAAAGCCTAAAAAACACTTTTTTCTAAGCTAAAAATCTAAAATGGTTATCAAAACTTTTGTATGCCAAAAAGGAAATAGTTCACATGTGATATAGTAACGATTTAATTATGTGATAATGAAAGGAAAATCATTTATTAATGTCCATACAATTTTAGAAAGTCTATTTAAAAGAGAGAGGTTGACAAAATGCTATTTTTTTCTTTATGGCTGAGCACTATTGCTTATGGCCACTTCTTATGGCATCACTCAATTACTTTTTAATTGATATTAAAGCAATTTCCTTTTTACTTTCATATATATATGTTACTTTTGATCCTATCCGTTAAAATTATATATTTTATATATATTCTTTTACTTTACCCTCGTTCTCTCCTAAATCATCCCCTCTCTCTTTTCGTCAAAATTACAAATACTGATATTGGCCCATTTTTGTGGGTTAAAATTTGCAGGAGAAGAAATTTATTTTTTGTATAAATTTGTATAGTGTATAATAGTGTAAAAGAGTGTACTTGTAACAAATTCAAATTTCTTTACTATATAAATAAAAGAATTGGAATGTGATTACAACTTTAGAATCGTAATTGCAATACTTAAACAACTGAATTACAATGGAAATGCTGAAATAACAAGTAACTAAGATAGTGGTAAGAATTTGGATGAGAAGCTTAGACTCTAGAAGAAAAAGAAAGGAACAACGTTTTTTCTTCAATATGCATAAACCCTTCATTCCAAGTCATGTGCCCTTTTAACCGAATGCTAATTGGGTTGGGATCCCAAATTAGACACCCCAATATTTACTCGGCCCAATAATCCCAACTAAATTAGTCTTCACCAATTCTAGTCCATAGACCCTTATATATACAACTCGGTTCACAACATAGTTATGTACAAATTAATAATACATAGATTAGCCAGGAGGGATTGATTTTGACCCTGACCCCAACAATCGGTTGAGGATCCAAACTCAACACCTAATCTGAGATCTGACCTTGACTTTCCATCCGAATTAGACTTCGATATCCCATCCTAACACTTGACTCGAAACCCGATTCCGACATTCGATTTGTGATTCAACCGCGAATTCTGACCCGAAACCCAATATTCAAATTGTGAGTTGACTCCATCCTGATTCGAGACCAGAAAGTTAGGTCTCGGATTGAGGTCTGGAGTCGGATCCGAAATCAAGAATGAGAAATTGGATTCCAGATTAGTATCGGAAATCAATATCGAGACTTGAGCTAGGGTGAAAAATTGAGGTGTTAGATCGAAAAATAGTTTTGAAAAATATTTTTCGTACTTTTTGGAGGCAAATCATTTTCTTTAAATTTGAGAAAACTCAATTTATTTGAAAAATATTTTAGCCAATCAAATATGAAATATTTGAAAAATATGTTTTCCTTCCTACCAAACCCAGTTTAATGTTGAGATTAATAAGTTTATACATAATTAGTTAGTTAGTTTAAACAGTGTTACTTTCACAGAATTAGTTAGTTAACAGTTTTGTAGTTAGTTAGCTTTCTGTTAGCCAGCTGTCCTAGTTGTTAGATATTTTCTAGTTTTCAGTCTGTATATATATAGCTCACTGTATCTAGTTCTAGTTCAGTTTTCATATTTTCAGAAATGAGAAATATGCTTTCTCAATTAACTCTCTCTTAATGTTGAGTTCAGTAGGTTCTAGAATCCACCATTAATGGTGATTCTCGCTGCTTTCATTCTGAGCTTTTACATGGTATCAGAGCACGGGATCGATCAACCTTGCTTGTCTTCGTCCTTCTCGTGAAGATTTTTCAGATCTCAGGCTTGTTTCAGGTTACCTGTTCCTTTTTCTTTCAACTGTTCTTCAGTCTTCTTTTACTTTCCTACACATTCTCTTCTCCATTTCTGCGGATTGATTCTACTGTATTACAATGGTAGAAGTCACTAATCTAGAGGTAACTAAGGGAATTGAAATAGGAAGTGTTTTATACCTACATCCATCAGATAATCCAGGTGCACCTCTTGTACCAGTCGTTTTCGATGGAATTGGTTATTGATCCTGGAGGAGAGGCATCATCAGATCTCTGTCAGTGAAGAATAAATTGGGTTTCATCAATGGAGATTCTAAGAAACCACTTTCTACAGACCCAGACTATAAACAATGGGAAAGGTGTGACAATATGGTTACATCTTGGATCCTAAATTCTTTGAATAGAGAAATTGCTGATAGTGTAGCATACGTGGACAGTGCTTTAGAATTGTGGACTGATTTGGAGGATCGTTATGATCAAACCAATGGTGCCAAGTTGTATCAAATTCAGAAAGAGATCAATGATCTCATTCAGGGAGTTTTGGATGTAACAGCTTATTACACCAAGATGAAGAAACTTTGGGAAGAATTAAGTAGCTTATGTATCAAGAACCATTGCAGTTGTGCATGTAATTGTGGAGCAAAGGATGTCATGCACAAGGTTGAACAGGATAGACGATTGATTCAATTTCTTATGGGTCTTAATGAGATTTACACAATAATCAGAGGTAACATTTTGATGATGAATCCACTACCATCTGTGGCACAAGCTTTTGCCTTATTGATACAGGAAGAAAAACAGAGAGAGTTTAAATCAAACAGCCAATTGTTTTCTGAATCCAGTTCTCTTGCTGCTAGCTCTTCAGGATGCTCTTTAGCTGCTAATGTTTCAGGTACTTCAAAAGGTCAGAATTTCCAAACAAATTACTCATCTGCTTCTCCAAATCGTAGAGGAAGACCATTCTGTGACCACTGCAAGAGACCAGGCCATATTAAGGAGAAATGTTATCAGTTACATGGATATCCACAGAATAACAATCGATCTCAGAAATCTCAGTCTCATGGACAGCAAGGTTATAATCAATTCCAAAGACAACAACAATATGAGAATTATAGTCCCAATCAGGCATACAGAAACAATAACAAAGGGAAAGGTGTGGCAGCTAATTCTGTGGGGCTGTCATGTGACTCTACTATGGAACAAGGATGTGGCTCTGGGGGTCAAATCACCAATTAGGACATTGGCATCTCAAAGGAGCAATATGGACAGCTTGCCTACCTACTTCAGCAATTTCAGGCAGAAAATTCAGGCAACATGCAGACAACAAGTCCTGCTGTGAACTTTGCAAGTATCATTGCATGCACTTCTTCTATAGTGTTTGACAAACTTTCATGTGAATGTTATAAAGCCAAAACTGACTTGTGGATCCTAGACTCAGGTGCATCACACCATATGACATTTAACAAACTCCATCTCACCAATATTTTGCCATTACCTGAACCAATGTTAGTTAGATTACCTAATGGCTATAAGGTTAAGGTCACAGAGGTTGGAAATGTGCAACTAACTTCACAGATCACACTGTACAATGTCTTATTCATTCCCTCTTTCAAGTACAACTTGATTTCAATCAATTCCCTAGCTCTACATCTTAAATGTGTTGTTTCTTTCTCTAACACATCCTGTCTCTTGCAGGCCCCTTCACTGAAGAGGCCTCTGGAAATTGGTAAAGCTCATGATGGTCTTTATCTCCTTTGCTCAGACTGTCTGCAAAAGAGCAAACATTCCACTTCATCTGAAAATCCTACTACATGTCTTTCACTTCATAGAATTGATAGGTTGCATTGTCAATGTAATTCTCATTCCTGTTTGCCTTATCAAAATGTAATAAACAGGTCATCTGACAATAAAGACAATACTATTTCTGTTGATAGCAATGTTGTTACCACTGGTGTTGATACAGACTTATTGTGGCATTACAAACTTGGTCATGTTCCTTTTGTTAAAATGAAGAGTATATCCTCAATACCTGTGGCTTTCTCATCCAAACAGCCTTTCTTTTGCCCCATCTGTCCCATGGCAAGACAGACTAGACTACCTTTCCAACAGAGCACTCACAATAGCATTGCTATTTTTGACTTAGTCCATGTTGATTTATGGGGGCCATACCAAACACCCACACATGACAATTTTAGATTCTTTCTTACCCTGGTAGATGACTTCAGTAGGTCCACTTGGACACATCTACTCAGTCATAAAAGCAATGCCCTGCATGTTATTAAAACCTTCACATCCATGGTTGAAAACCAATTCAAATCTTCCATCAAAGTAATTAGATCCGATAATGGGCTTGAATTTACCAATACTGAGTCCATCCAATTTTTTCAGTCCAAAGGTATTATTCACCACAAGTCTTGTCCATACACACCTCAACAAAATGGTGTGGTGGAAAGGAAACATAAATACATTCTTGAAAACAGCTAGGGCACTTCTTTTTCAGTCCAAACTCCCTACAAAATACTGGGGAGAATGCATTCTAACTGCTACCTATATAATTAATAGACTCCTTTCTGCACCTCTAAATAACAAATGTCCATATGAAGTGTTGTATGGGCTGAAACCTTTTTACTCACACTTAAGAAGTTTTGGTTGTTTGTGCTACCCAACTATCCCTAAAACCCAAAGATCCAAATTTGAACCTAGAGCATCTCCACACGTTTTTGTAGGATATCCATTTGGTATGAAAGGATACAAGGTCATGAGTCTAGCCACTAAAAGGTTGTATGTCTCCAGAGATGTCATCTTTCATGAAACACTTTTCCCCTTTGCAATGACTAAAGATCCTACTCTCTTCCCTTCTTATCCTCACTGTTTTAATGATCAGTCTGCATATCCCACTTCTGATTCATCATTCGATCCTACTGTCCAGTGTGGTCATGAAATGTTAAGTGACACAAATCCTACTTTACCTCCTGAACCTTCTAGTCCACCACATCATCCTTCTCCTAGCAACACCTCAACCACATCTCTCCAACAAGTTCACCAACCTGATATAACAACCAGGAAGTCTCATAGGACTCACAAATTGCCCACATACTTGTCAGACTATGTTCACTCTATACCTATGTCACAACCCACAGACAACCACACATCCACTCTAACAACCCCTACTACATTAACTGCTTGTTTTTCCCTCAAACACCATATATCTCCTGCAAAATTGGATCCTAATAGTCAAGTTTTTGCTTTAAATATTGCTCATGATTGTGAACCATCTAGCTATGAAGAAGCTGCTCTTGATCCTGCCTGGCAAACAACAAAGACTCAGGAATTTGCTGCTTTGCATGATAATAACACTTGGTCCCTTATTCCTTTGCCTATTGGTAAGAAAGCTATTGGTTGTAGATGGGTATATAAAATCAAACACAAGGCATATAGTAGTGTGGAAAGATACAAAGCAAGGCTAGTGGTTAAAGGGTATACTCAGCACCTTGGCATAGACTATACAGAAACATTCTCACCAGTTGTTAAAATGACAACTGTCAGAGCTTTTATTGCTGTTGCTGCAAAGAAACAGTGGAATATTTACCAACTTGATGTTAATAATGCTTTTCTCCATGGAGATCTGCATGAAGAAGTATACATGGATGTCCCTCCAGGTCTTGCTGGTTTGTAAGCTCAACAAGTCATTGTATGGTCTGAAATAAGCAAGCAGACAATGGTATGAAAAGTTGACTGGAGCTTTGAGTTCAAGGGGTTACACTCACTCGCTATATGATTATTCATTGATCTATAGGAAAAGGGGTTCTTCTACTGTTTTTCTAGGTGTCTATGTAGATGATATTATACTTACAGGAACTGATGCTGAAGAAATTGCCAATCTCAAAAGTTTTCTACATGACCAGTTCAAGATCAAAGACCTTGGGAGATTGCACTATTTCTTGGGTTTGGAGATATTATATAAGGATGATGGAGTCATTATATCTCAAAGAAAATTTGTCCATGACCTTCTCAAGGACTTCCATTGTGATACACTAACTCCCATGGCTTCTCCCTTAGATCCTAATGTTAAGCTTAAGGCTCATGAAGGCAGACCATTAAGTGATCCTACCTTATATAGAAAGTTGGTAGGAAAGCTGAATTTCCTCACTCATACCAGACTTGATATTGCCTATGGAGTTCAACATTTGAGTCAATATATGCAAGATCCCAGGGAACCTCATCTTCGAGCTGCTTTTCACATGTTGAGGTATCTCAAAAATGATCCCACCTTGGGCATCTTCATGTCGTCTTCTCCTAATTTTAAAGTTCAAGCTTTTTGTGACTCTGATTGGGCATCATGCCCTGACTCTAGAAAATCTGTGAGTGGTTACATTGTTTTGCTGGGAAGTAGTCCCATCAGCTGGAAATCTAAGAAACAGGAGACCATTTCATTATCCTCTGCAGAAGCTGAGTACAGATCATTACGAAAGGTTGTTGGAGAATTGGTTTGGCTACAACGATTGTTCACTGAGTTGACTGTTCCTCCAATTGGTTCTTTCCCAGTATATTGTGATAGTCAGGCTGCCCTTCACATAGCCAAGAATCCAGTTTTTCACGAGCGAACCAAACACATAGAGGTCGATTGTCATTTTGTTAGATCCAAACTTCAAGAAGGTTTAATTTCATTGCATCACATCAGCACTGGCGATCAATTGGCCGACATCCTCACGAAGGCTCTCACAGGAATCAAACACTCTGCTATGATGGACAAGTTGGCTGTGTTCTCCTCACCTCCAACTTGAGGGGGGGGGGTGTTGAGATTAATAAGTTTATACATAATTAGTTAGTTAGTTTAAACAGTGTTACTTTCACAGAATTAGTTAGTTAACAGTTTTGTAGTTAGTTAGCTTTCTGTTAGCCAGCTGTCCTAGTTGTTAGATATTTTCTAGTTTTCAGTCTGTATATATATAGCTCACTGTATCTAGTTCTAGTTCAGTTTTCATATTTTCAGAAATGAGAAATATGCTTTCTCAATTAACTCTCTCTTAATGTTGAGTTCAGTAGGTTCTAGAATCCACCATTAATGGTGATTCTCGCTGCTTTCATTCTGAGCTTTTACAAATGTAGTTTCAATTTCAGGGCACAGATGCAATAGCGATAATTTGCATAGAAAATCTCCGAAAAAAAGTTGCATTTAAAGTGTGCACATGTAATTTAGCTGTGTTTGTCAATTTTCATAATAAATGATTGTAACAGAATATTTAGAATTTACATTAAAAGAATGGTCCACATGTGATATAGCAATAATTTAATTATATGATAATGAAAATTGAAAGGAACTATTTATTAATTAAGAATGGCTATTACGAAGAGAGAAGTTGACAAAATTCTATTTTTTCCATATAGAATACAATTTGTAGATATTTGTTAAGTGTAGTTATGAATATATTAGAACTACACAGATTAGTTATAAGGAAATTATGTATGGATCAGTTAGAGAGAGTATACTTATTAATTTATTATTTATTTCACCATCTATATTTCATGAAATAATATATGGATTATCTTATATCTGTATTAGTTATATAGATTTTTAAATTACCAATCAAATATCATATTAGCTTTACATTTAAATAACTTACATTCTAACCAATTATCAAATATGATATCATATATACACGATTTATAATCTGCAAAATTACACCAAATATATAAAAAGTGTTACAAAAAAATTTAAAACTTAACTAGGCGGACGAAAACAAAAAATATGACATGAATAGCTAGGTTAGTGAAGGATTCGGATATTTGCTTATAAATAGAGGTGAAGTCAAACATTCTCATTCACCCTTACTTTAATTATCCTCATAAGCATAGCATTATTTGCTTTCTCTTAATTTCAGCCCTTTTAAAAAGAAGAATCGTTTTATTTTGCTGATAACATGTAATATTCGTTTCTCTTTTTCTTGTTTTGATTTTAGCTTGAAGAAAAATGAATACGTAATTTCTTGCTGATAACATGTTGTAAATAATTTCTTGTTTATGTTTGTTGTAGGATGAGAACCTTATTTGCGTTGGTTTTGGTAGCAGCAATGTGTGCAACTGTTTTTGGCGTCGGAGATGATTTATACGTCAATATGACACTACTCCAAAACGCAACTGCACAAGGCGCAGGTAATTACTGATGAAGTACTAACTCCTTGTTTGTTTAATTAATTGTATCAATTAGTAGTATTTGTTCGTTTGATTAACTATTG